GAAAGCAGTTAATGAAGAAAAAAAATTAAATGAAGAAAATGGAAGACCAAAATCAAAATTTTATGTGTCTGGGAATGGATCGTGGAAGAAAAGAGGTTTTACGTCGCTGTTAGGTGTTGTAACTCTAATTGGTAATTTAACCGGAAAAGTAATCGATCTTGTTATTAAAAGTTCAATATGTAAGGTTTGCACGTCATGGAAATCAAAAGAAGGTACTGATGAATATACTGAGTGGTACGAAAAACACGAAGATGAATGCCTATTAAATCATTCCGGTTCATCAGGGAAAATGGAAGTCGATTCCATGAAAGAAATGTTTTCCAGATCAGAAGAAAAGTATGGCGTTCAGTACGTGAATTATATAGGCGATGGCGACTCAAAAACCTTCAAAGCCATCTTAGACTTGAATCCGTACGGCAATGACTGTCCTGTAAAAAAAAGTGAATGCGTTGGGCATGTCGAGAAACGAATGGGCATAAGACTTCGAAATGTAAAAATAGATAAGAAGCTCGGAGGACGTGGAATGTTAACCGATGTACTGATAAAAAAAATAACTCGATGCTACGGATTAGCCATACGTCGAAATACTGATTCGGTCCAGGGCATGAAAAAAGCCATTCAAGCAACACTCGATCATCTAACATCCACCGACGAGACACCGAAACACGGAAATTGTCCGGCTGGAGCTGATAGCTGGTGTAAGTGGCGCAAGGCTGAGACAGCAGGTTGTGCAGCGTCATTTAAACATCCCCCTCCTCTTCACCCAAATGTTGAGAAACATTTGCAACCGATCTTCGACGATCTTTCGAATGACAGTCTTTTGGAAAGGTGTTTAGGCGGTTACACACAGAATGCAAATGAAAGTTTCAATTCTACCGTTTGGCGTTTATCGCCTAAACACATTTACAGTGGAGCAAAAATCGTCTGCATTGCTGCGAATATTGCTGCATCGATATTTAACGAAGGCTACAATGCAGTGTTAATGATAATGAACAAATTGGATATCGAAATTGGGATCCAGGCACACAATTTTGCCATAACGAAGGACGAGAAGCGAATAAACAGACAGAACCGCCGAAGCTATAGCAGCTCAAAAGAGGCAAGAACGGCTCGTAGGATGGAGATGATGGCTCAAAACGAGTTCTACGAGGAAGTGGAGGGGCTACTTTATGCAGCTGGAATCGCTGATTAGCGTGAGACTGCCGTAAGTTGTGAATATGTAGTATTTTTATGCATCTAAAACTTTAAACGCGTTTTTCTCGAAACACGTTTTTTTGATTTTGTGTACACGATTAAGAGAAATCTACTAAACCGATTTGGCTTTATGACCTCTCATTTTAAAGATAATTAAATGCTCTTCGATGTGACATTAATTGTTTTTTGAAAAAAAAAATTTTTTCATATTTTTTTCGTATTTTAAAGTCGATTTTTTTTTAACGAAAAACGCACTTTCAATTTTAAACTGTGTAAAAACATGCAATTTCGACTTTTTCTTTAAAAAATCGAAATGTCACATAGAAGCTAGTATCATAAACATGACAAAAAATTTTGGTTTTAAGGACGTTACAGTGTACACAGCGGAGACACTCCACAAGCGAAGCGTTATTAATATGGCGTCCGTTTTTATAGTAAACATCTTTTTTTTTTTTGAAAAAATTCCTGTGTACTCTTTGATTGTGTATTAAATTGTCATAAAAATTTCAAAACGTTTCAAGTTATTATACCCGAGAAAAAAATTCGTGAAAATCATGTATTTTTCGACCGTGTAAAGGAGGTTTCACCCTTAATTTTGATCTGAAACAAAAAAACCAAAATTTTTTGTCATGATTATGATACTAGCTTCTATGTGACATTTCGATTTTTTAAAGAAAATGTCGAAATTGCATGTTTTTACACAGTTTAAAATTGAAAGTGCGTTTTTCGTTAAAAAAAATCGACTTTAAAATACGAAAAAAATATGAAAAAATTTTTTTTTTCAAAAAACAATTAATGTCACATCGAAGAGAATTTAATTATCTTTAAAATGAGAGGTCATAAAGCCAAATCGGTTCAGTAGATTTCTCTTAATCGTGTACACAAAATCGAAAAAACGTGTTTCGAGAAAAACGCGTTTAAAGTTTTAGATGCATAAAAATACTACATATTCACAACTTACGGCAGTCTCACGCTAATCAGCGATTCCAGCTGCATAAAGTAGTCCTTCCACTTCCTCGTAGAACTCGTTTTGAGCCATCATCTCCATCCTACGAGCCGTTCTTGCCTCTTTTGAGCTGCTATAGCTTCGGCGGTTCTGTCTGTTTATTCGCTTCTCGTCCTTCGTTATGGCAAAATTGTGTGCCTGGATCCCAATTTCGATATCCAATTTGTTCATTATCATTAACACTGCATTGTAGCCTTCGTTAAATATCGATGCAGCAATATACGCAGCAATGCAGACGATTTTTGCTCCACTGTGAATGTGTTTAGGCGATAAACGCCAAACGGTAGAATTGAAACTTTCATTTGCATTCTGTGTGTAACCGCCTAAACACCTTTCCAAAAGACTGTCATTCGAAAGATCGTCGAAGATCGGTTGCAAATGTTTCTCAACATTTGGGTGAAGAGGAGGGGGATGTTTAAATGACGCTGCACAACCTGCTGCCTCAGCCTTGCGCCACTTACACCAGCTATCAGCTCCAGCCGGACAATTTCCGTGTTTCGGTGTCTCGTCGGTGGATGTTAGATGATCGAGTGTTGCTTGAATGGCTTTTTTCATGCCCTGGACCGAATCAGTATTTCGACGTATGGCTAATCCGTAGTATCGAGTTATTTTTTTTATCAGTACATCGGTCAACATTCCACGTCCTCCGAGCTTCTTATCTTTTTTTACATTTCGAAGTCTTGTGCCCATTCGTTTCTCGACATGCCCAACGCATTCACTTTTTTTCACAGGACAGTCATTGCCGTACGGATTCAAGTCTAAGATGGCTTTGAAGGTTTTTGAGTCGCCATCGCCTATATAATTCACGTACTGAACGCCATACTTTTCTTCTGATCTGGAAAACATTTCTTTCATGGAATCGACTTCCATTTTCCCTGATGAACCGGAATGATTTAATAGGCATTCATCTTCGTGCTTTTCGTACCACTCAGTATATTCATCAGTACCTTCTTTTGGTTTCCATGACGTGCAACCCTTACATATTGAACTTTTAATAACAAGATCGATTACTTTTCCGGTTAAATTACCAATTAGAGTTACAACACCTAACAGCGACGTAAAACCTCTTTTCTTCCACGATCCATCCCCAGACACATAAAATTTTGATTTTGGTCTTCCATTTTCTTCATTTAATTTTTTTTCTTCATCAACTGCTTTCAGACATGTAGCATCAAAGACAAACTTTACTGCATCATACAGGTGTTTCACAATTTTCTCGTACGCACTGTTACTCAAACCTGTACCGAGATCCATAAGTCCAGCAAAAATATTGATGCCTTCTTGTCCGATGCCTAAAAGTCTCATAACAAAAACTATTCTTCTGTTAATTTCATAACCGGTATTTATAAGAGGTCCAGAATCAATCTGTGTAGAGCCACAAGAACACAACACAACTATCTTAAAACCGAAACCACGAATTCCCGATTCTCTAAATTCGACATTTTTCAAGCACTTTCGACATATAAGCAGTTGCGCGAGCGTTTGAAAAACGCTCAGAAAATCTGTAATTTTATACGCATGAGTCCTATTCACTTCTGCGTCAAAAACATTAGCACTGCTTAGTTTTTTACTGGAAGCACTCGTATTACTAATTTCCTTTTCTTTGGCTTCATTTTCTTGATCTTTACTCCAAGGAGATTTCCTTTTTCGAGGCCTCGTTGAACATTTGGACTGCCCGTGTGTCGCTTTCGGATACGAAGTCATGCTGCATTTAGCAATGTATTCACTCGACAAAAGACGAAAGCGAACTGATCGTAGGTCAAAACAAGTTTGAAAGGGAAGACAGATAAAATTTCTACCAACGGACTTTTCGAACGCAGGTATAAACACGCTCCGAGAACGCAGGTATAAACGCGACCGCCCGAGGGTCGCTAGGCCCGTCTGAACTCGTCACCCGACCCGTCCGCTTTAACTTCGTAACTTCGTAAATACTGCAGATATCGACTTGAAATTTTCAGGGAATATTCTTGAATAGTTTAACAATCGATTAAGACTATTTCCAAAATATCGATTTTTTTGACCCGATAAAGAAGGTTTT